CACGCCAGCAAAACGCCCGCAGCAAAGCGACACTACATCTGCATAGCGCACGCGTCAGCACAGCGTGCCAGAGATGTGAAGAAAAGAGGAAATGAAGAAGAGAGGAGTTGCACTAGCAGCAGTTGGCATACATATAGGAAACCCTAATTGGGTTGTACTTGCTATAGAGTACCCCACTGCAGGCTAGACAATTATAACATTCTGACACACCCCCATAGCCAAAGTGGGGTGTAATCAGCACAATGAGCAAGCAGGCATAGAGCAAGAGTTCACAATAGCGAGCAAAGCTAGAGTTAATCACAGCGGGCAAGTGAGGAGGAGGAGGAACTGTGGAGGGAGAGAAGATGGGAGGCAACGACTGAAGCTGCAGAGGCACGGGCACAGGAGCGGCTGACTCAGTGGCTACCGAAGCAAGGGCGACGGACTACTGGAGTAACTGGCTCCGTGGCTATAGACGAGCGGCAGGAGCAACGGACCCACTGGCGACTGGTGCAACAGGCTCACTGGCTACCGAAGCAAGGGCGACGGAATACAAGCGCTGCAGGCGACACGACAGCTACCTTCACACAACCTCCTCCAGCTGCCCCACACCTTCGACACACACCCCCTGCTCAAACCCTAGTTCCACTCCCACAGCACCCCCCTTTCACACACCCCTTGCTGCACCCTAGGTTCACTCACACCCCACCCCCTAGCACCACTCCGTCGACTCCCACACACCCACCCCCCTCAGCGGCAGCTGCAGCAGTGGGAGACAGAGGAGGAGGAGGAGCAGGGGAGACCACACACCCGCCACCCCCTACTCGCCACCCCCAAACCCTAACACAGGGCAGGGCGGGATGGCGGGTAGGGAGGTTACGAGGGGGGGGGGGGGGGGGGGGAAGGGGGGGGGGGGGCGACGCGCGGCCTCCCAGGGCGCCAAAGCAGGCGGCAGAAGGGGCGACGCTCGCTCCCCCCCCCCACGCGGCCCCCTCAGGTCGCCTCGACAGGCGACGGGAAAAGAGGGGGGGGGCGGTGCACGGGCCCCCGGTGCGCCGCGACAGGCGACGTAGCATGGCCGGGGCGGGGCCGGGGCAGGGTCGAGGCAGGGCCGAAAGGGGCGGCGACGGGGCCGCAAGTGGCGGCGACGGGGCCGCTGGAGGCGGCGACGGGGCCGATAGACGGGGCCACTAGGGGCGGCGACGGGGCCGCTGGTGGCGGCGACGAGGCCGATAGGGGCGGCGACGGGGCCGCGAAGGGGCCGCGAGGGGCATGGAAGAGCGGCGACGGGCCGCTAGGGGCGGCGACGGGGCCGCGAAGGGGCCGCGAGGGGCCTGAAAGGTCGGCGATGGGGCCGCTAGGGGCGGCGACGGGGCCGCGAAGGGGCCGCGAGGGGCCTGGAAGGGCGGCAACGGGGCCGCGAAGGGGCCTCGAGGGGCCGAGAAGGGCGGCGACGGGGCCGCTAGGGGTGGCGACGGGGCCGCTAAGGGTCGCGAAGGGGCCGCGAGGGGCCTGGAAGGACGGCAACGGGGCCGCGAAGGGGCCTCGAGGGGCCGAGAAGGCCGGCGACGGGGCAGCTAGGGGTGGCGACGGGGCCGCTAAGGGTCGCGCGAGGGGCCGTGAGAGGGGCCTCTAGGAGGGGAAGAAATAAGTCCGTCGCACGCCACGGGGCGTGCAACACACAGAGTAGCAGCGGAAGCAGTTAGGTGGGCCCACAGGCCAGGAGCGTAGATGCTCTGATAGCACGTGAAGAAAAGAGGAAATGAAGAAGAGAGGAGTTGCACTAGCAGCAGTTGGCATACATATAGGAAACCCTAATTGGGTTGTACTCGCTATAGAGTACCCCAATGCAGGCTAGACAATTATAACATTATGACAAGAGACGCCTCACTTTCGCCCAGGGGCTATCTCGTGTATAAGAGCAGGTGCTCGCGTTGTTTCATGCGGCAGAAAGGGGCACCAGGCGACGGGAAAGGGGAATCGGGCCGCAGAAAAGAGAATGGCTAAGGCGCCGCCATGGATGCATTCTCACTTTTGATGCGAAATGCTCCGCGTATTAGGTTCCAGAAAATAAACAATGGCTCTGTCGGCATATGACCTAAGCGTGAGAAGCACTATAATCGCAATGGCTTGCAGTGCTTTTGGAAGTTACATTTTTTAGTGATGACTATGCACGCTTTGGGAGTGGGGACAGTGGAGAGGAGGCACGTCCTTCAGTATACTTTTGGCTAGGTATAAACTTTTGACGAGTGAGTCATGTGAGAGGGGTTGGGTTTGAACTAGTCGCTGTGTTAGAAGTCGAGAGACCCTGTAATATGGTTACCACCATGTACCTTTTATCAACTTTCGGCCTTTCCCCTGCCAAATGTATACCGGTGCTTTAAACCGCTTCATCCTCTTCAATGACAAATTTGCCGTTCCAACACCACAGCTACCGCCGCTGTTGCAAGAGCGTGTACACCCTTGAGAGCAGCCCATGCTTTTGGTTCCTTCTCTGGTTCACGCTGGAATGACTTGATGTGACGGATTTGGCTACTCCCCAACGCTTGCCCTAGTAGGAGATAGCCTTGTGCGCTCTTCCGCACCCACGAGCTCCTCTCCGGGTCGTTCTCGAGACGCTTCTCCGTTCCTTCCATCACCTCCAGCAGATCATAGTGATCAAACACATTCTCCATCTGAAGGACCATTCAGCGAAGTTGTCATCGTTGAACTTGTCAAGGCCAAACACTCTAGGCTCATCCCTAGATGGGCCAACACTTGGTTGCACGGGCGCCATGGCTGAATCACGGGGTTGACCTTGTGCTTGGGATCCTCCACTGCCTCTAGCACCTCTGTCACCCCTTTCTTCAGGTCCAGCCATTGTCGTAGCTGCCCCAAGGGGCTCTGATACCACTTGTTATGCACACAATAGGCTTCAATGTGCCTAAAACGAAAGATAGAGTGCACAGTCGGATTTCTGCACAGCGGCTTCAAACAATCATAGCGTTCTGGTCACAGCTTTAAATGACCTGATTCAACTTGGATCTTAAGCGTCTTACTGTCGCTTACATTAGGCAATTTAGATCGCACGATTTTATCAAGTATTGACAATACAGCGTTGGTTTGAACGAACGGCACTATTAGCAACCACTATAGTCTTAGAACACAAGATAGGAAGAGTTACGAGTTGGGAATGACTCCCAGCTCCTACAAACCTCAAGAGCCGAGGTACAGTAATGTGGAACAGTGCCACACTGTCCCCAACCACGAAGGGTCTCGAAAATACCATTCACTAGGGCCTACACCAAGTGAAATGTTACACTACACAAAGTAATGTAACTATCTTCAATACCTTGAGGTGTTCCATTTTTTCGTGGGCTTCACGATCACTTGAATCTTCACACCAAGGCTCTGGTTCTTCACCACAAACTCATCCTTGAGTTCTTGATGGGTCTGCTGCACACACATGCGACACTGTTAGATGGAAATGCTGCCATGAGCAACAAAATGTCTGCGCTGGGATTCGAACTCGTGACCTTCAAATCTGTCCTGAAAGTGTCTCAGGACAGATTCAGGACAGTTTCTGCTAAGGCGCTGGTTATGGTGCACACGAGTTTCGAACTGGAGACCTTTCGATTCAAGTGTCCCGAAAGTGTCTTGTCAGGACAGATTGGGGACAGTTTGGGGACAGATTGGGGACAGTTTGGCGAAGTCGATCTCGGGTCGCGTTCGGTTTGAAACTCGGCAGTGAAGTTTCGAAGTCAACGGAATTCGCATGGGAGTTACAGTCGGTGGTCGACGGAATTCTTGTCGCGAAAATTCTCGTCTATGGAATTCCAGTCAATGGAATTCGCTCGGCGAAATTCAAGGCTCCGAATTTCGCGGCGACAAAATTCAACGTGCGACCCGGGTCGACACTTTCTTGTGTGCTTCTATTTTGTACTGCGTCCTAGTATAAAACCAGAGAGCACAAACCAGAAATCAACCAAGTCATTACCACTGCTATGTTTGTGTGTATCTCTGGCTATAGTGGACCGTTTCCTGCAATCTTTGGTGCGTTGGAATTGTGCTTCTGGGCTCTATCAAGCTGCTATAGTAGTGGAATTCTACATGGTATCAGGGCTGCGTTATCTGCGTCGATCCAACTAGCGGCTTGATTCCGTCCTCCCATCACTTCGTTCCCACGTTGGTGTGGCCGACGCTCGTTTTGACCACGGATGGAGTGGTTAACGAGCACCGAGGGCCTGAATGCCCGTCAAGAGTTGGAGGTGTCCGTTTGTGAGCACCACCCTAACTTGCGTGATGAGGAAGTCGACCTCATTGTAGACGGTCGTCTACTACGCATGGTTCGAGAGCGCGCGGCGGAGTAAGCACCTGCGAGCGGCCAGCAAGGAGGAACCGGTGAAGGAGGAGCTGTGCACGAGCCTCCAAGTGCTGTGGGCGTTGGTGGAGGAGCTCTTGCACCGACCATTGACGCGGGATTGATCGGGACGAGCTACGGTCAATTCAAGTTTGGAGTTGAACACATCTCCGTGACGCCGCTGCTGAAGGGAAGGCACGACCTTACCGCGTGGGTCAGCGCCATCCGACCTCAGCTCCAGTGTGCTGATTTGTGGCAGTTTTGCAACGGGACAGCACCAAGCCCGGCCCCAAACAACCCCTTGCAACGAAGGGAGTACGCAAAGGGCCAAATGCTTGCATTCATGGTGCTGAACCGATGTGTTTCTCCACCCATCCGAATGTCCATCTCTGGTTTCTCTCAGCAAGAGAAAGCCGGGCGGCTAGCATGGGCATATATCTTGTCTACTTATCAAGTTCGTGATGCCCTCCACGCTTCCCTACTTCAGACCCAGTTAGCCCAACTCAGGAAGGGAGATGATGAGACGGCGGAGTCCTAGTGCAATAGGGCCCGCACCATCCGAGCGGAGCTGCTGACCATTGGACAGGAGGTCCACATCGCCACGTTTGCCGCCCACGTGCTGAAGGGCCTACCACCGGAGTACGGATTTCTTCGCCGCAAGCTCGAAATTTCCTGCCCTGACATGACGGTGGAACCCGTGTGTAGCGAGGTGTTGATGGAGGAGCAGACTCTCTCCATCGAACAGAGTTACAAGCAGATCATCATCGATGCATCTGATTTCTCGGGCGCTGTCAACACCATCGTGGCTACAACGGGGGTCAACGGGAAGGAAGGCAAAGGGGGAAGGGAGCAGACGGACAAGAAGAAGGATGGAAAGCGGGAGAAGAAGCGAGCCCCCTTCAAGGGGCGCTGCTACAACTGCAATGAGGAGGGGCACATGGCTGCCAAGTGCCCCAACAAGAAGAAAGATACAACGCCCGCGGCAGCCGCGAACGTAGCTGAAGGAGACGGGAAGGGCGTGGCGCTCACCGTCGCGTGTTCGGCTGCAAAGTTGCTGGCCGACGACAAGGACTTGTGGTTCCTTGACTCAGGATGCTCCCAACACATGACCGGCCGCAAGGAGTGGTTCACAGTGATCCGTGACCCATCTGCAACGAAATCAGTCAAAGGGTTTGATGGTTCTATGCAGGAAGTTGCCGGTGTTGGTGAGGTTTTGCTGGAGGGCACTAACGGCTTGCGTGTGACCCTACATGATGTCCTCTGTGTGCCAGGAATGAAGGCTAACTTGGTCTCCCCTGGGCAGCTCTTGGACAAGGGAGCAAAGCTGCAAACCGAGGAAGGTGTCACTTGCATCATCCCATCAGGAGGTCAAGTGGCTGCAACGGCACGATACCGCCATCGCCTTCACTGCCTTGACCTTAAACCAGGGCCAGCAAGGAACGGTGCAACGGCTGCAGCGGCATGCAATGGCACGGCGGCTGCAGCGGCATGCAATGGCACGGCGGCTGCAGCGGCATGCACCAATATGGCGGGTGGAGCGGCGAGCAACAGCACAGGGGCTGCAGCGGCATGCAACGGCACGGCGGCTGCAGCGGCAAGCAACGGCACGGCAGCTACAGCGGCATGCAATGACACGGCGGCTGAGGTGGCATGCAACGGTATGCCTAAGGCATTTGCTGAGGTGGTGTCAAGCGCGCCGTAAGAGAATGACGAAGCAGCCAGCCTCACAACATATGCGGTGGGGACCGAGGCGATGCTCAACCTGCGGCACACTCACCTTGAGAATGACCATGCTGGTGCGGTGCAGTGGACAGCCACAAACAGTGGCATGCTAGGCATGGACCTAGAGAAAGGAGGGGAGGACACGTCGAGCGCCTCCTCCCAAGAAGCCAAACTCACTCGTCAAACGCTTCCGCTGCCTGACGAGCGAGAGGGGGAGGTTCTTGGGATGGTCCATGGCCTTGGGCAGAATCAACCGCCGTCACGTACCGTCATCATAATCCCAGTGCCGTCCGTGCAAGGGGGCGAACAACCGTTTGATCGTTCGGTTGACCCTGCGGGCAGCAACGCAACCATGGCTCCGCCAGCTCTGTGTCCATCCTTAGCTGCTGGCTTGGCACCTGTGGGACCAGAGGTTGGTCCCTCTGCGGATGAACGTCGTGCAGCTGATGAAGACAAGGAAGGAGAGGCAACGGACCTGAAATCAGCGACAACCCATGGGAAGGACCCCATACCCACGGTTCCGCCCCTCCAGCCCACTCCCCCACACCCATGTCATTCTAGCAGGTCCAACAAGGGTATGCCACCTGTTTGGCTTCCCGCATCCACCATGACGGCCTCGGATGCGGTTGATGGCAACAACATGTACGGCATTGCATTCCTTGCAGGAGGTGCTTATGGCACAGACATCTACTATGATGTGGAGTACTTGGATGAGGCTGATGAGGAGGAAGGGGGATTGAGGAGCATCATCATCAACCTCGGAGTAACCTTGACCGGACCTGAAGGCAAGGTGGTGGACAAAGGTCTCCTCGTGGTGGAATACATGTCATCCACGGAAGGCTATCTTGGTCTGCAGATTGTGCGCGACCACCCCAACAAAACACTCCTCCTTCACCAGATGCGTACGTGGCAAAGGTGCAGCAGCGGTTCTTCAAGGGGGCGCCACCAAAGAAGCAGCCGATCACTCCTCTCTCCTCTGCCAGCTTTGCCAAGCAGGATGCCGGGCAGTTTGCCAACCGTACCATGAGCGAGTACTTGTCAATTCTCGGCATGGTGCAGTTTACAGCCATCTCATCCTGTCCTGACCTCTCTTTTGCATGCAGTCGCCTTGCAGCAGGTGCACACCTCAGGACCGATGCGCATTGGCATGAGCTCTTCCGCACAATCTCCTACTGGGCTGCCTCACCGGACAAGGGGCTGCTGTTCAAGGGAGGACCAGAGAGTTTGACTCTCGTAGGGTATGCGGATGCGGATGATGCAGGCGACAAGGAGAACCAGTCGTCCACGGGAGGCTACCTCTTCAAGCTTGGCGGAGCTGCCGTTTCATGGCAGGCCAAGAAGCTGCAGGGTGCGACCAAGCTCTCCTCCACCAAGAGCAAGCTTGTGGCTGCGGTGGAAGTGGGAAAGGTGGGGCGCAAGCTAAGGTTCCTGCTGTGGGAGTTTCAACTGCTCAAGAAGAGTGTCCCCACTACCCTGAACGTCGACAACATGTCAGCGGTGCAGCTCAGCCAAGCAGGCGGGCTACAGGGGCGCATGAAGCATGTGGACCGTCGCCACATGTGGCTACAGGACATGGTGCCAAACGTTCCACACACACGACAAAATAGAAACCGTGCGCAAGACACACGACAAAATAGAAACCGCGCACGGGACACAAACGACCGCGTGACAGGCGACTAGCGATAACTCGCTATTGACTCGACACACACACTCGACATTATGACTCAACATTCACACACCATTATTAGCATAAAATATATATTATCCCATGCCCTCATACCATTCCATGCACACACGCATGCACGCACACGGACAACAAGCCGAGTGCAAACCGTAGGGTTGCACCAACAGAGTGCACAGTCGGATTTCTGCATAGCGGCTGTAAACGTTCATAGCGTTTTGGTCACGGCTTTAAATGACCTGATTCAACTTGGATCTCGAGCTTCTTAAATTTTCCTACAATATGCAATTTAGAGCGCACGACTTTATTAAGAATTGATGACACAGCGTCGGTTTGAACGAACGGCACTATGGCAGCCACTATAGTCTTAGAACACAATTTAGGAAGAGTTACGAGTTAGGGATGACTCCAGCTCCTACAAATCCCAAGAGCCAAGGTGCAGTGATGTGGAACAGTGCCACACTGTCCCCAACCACGAAGGATCTCGAAACTACCCTTCACAAGGGCCTACACCAAGTGAAATGTTACATTACACAAAGTAATGTAACTATTCTCTTTATCTTGAGGTGCAACCCTTTTCGCAGGCTTCGCGATAACTTGAATCTTGAAACCACAGCTTTGGTTCTTCACCATAAACTCATCATTAAGTTCTTGATGGGTCTGTTGCACACACCTGCGACACACCGAACGTTCCATACACGATAAAATAGAAACCGCGCACGAGACGCACGACAAAATAGAAACCGCGCACGGGACAGAAACGACCGCGTGACAGGCGACTAGCGATAACTCGCTATTGACTCGACACACACATATTCGACATGACGACTCATTATTCACACAGTATTATAAGCATGAAATATATGTTATATAATGCCCTCATACCATTCCATGCATACACGCATGTTCGCACATGGACAACAAGCCGAGTGCAAACCATAGGATTGCACCAACAAACTCCCCCTCGGATTTTTGGCCTTAGGAACTTGTTCTCTTAGTTCAGAGCCATCCCAGCCATCTTGCAAAGCTTCCAATGCCGCTGCTCCACCAGCCTCTTGGTCATCATGTCAGCTGGTTGCCCCGTCGTCTTCACGAAGCGCAACTCAACTTCACCGTCGGCCACCATGCTCCTCGTCCAGTGCCACTTCACCCTCATGTGCTTGGTGAGGCCATGCAACACGGGGTTCTTAGCTAGTGCAATGGCACCCTAGCTGTCACAGTAGAGTGGGGTAGGTCCTTGCTGCTCCTCCCCCAATTCAGCCAACAAACGCCGCTGCCACACAATCTCCCGTACGGCACGGAAGAGTGCCATGTACTCGGGCTCCACCGAGCTCAATGCTTGGTGCACCTGCTTCTTGCTCTCCCGAGTAGTCGGGCCTCCACAAAAACAGCAGATGAAGCCTCTCACACTTGTCATGTCCTCTGGTTCTGATGCATAAGAAGCATCCGAGAATGCGGTGAGGAACAAACGCCCGGGTTCAACACAATCCGCGCCCTTTTGGCGCCTTTGCGCCGCCGCCGAGTATTGCAGCCCAGCGGTCAGTGTTTGGCCAACATACTTGGCCACCCTCATTCCAGCTGCTACCTGCTCCTCATTAGGGCATTGCACAGCCCTAGCCAGCTGCCTGGTAGTGAATGCGACGTTCGGCGGGTGTTTACCGCTGCATACATGAGGCTGCCAACCAACGAGAGAAAACGGCGCCTCTCTTCTTCGTCAATGCTATCCTCCTCTAGTCCCTTCACACACTTGAAACCAGAAGGGAATGGAGTAGCCACATGACCTTCAATATGCTCAAAGTTGGCAGCCAACGCCTCTAGGTATTTGCGTTGATGCACCCGCATGCACCACTTCTCCACGTCGCGCTCGATGTGAAGCCCAAGGCAGATGTTCACATCACCAAGGGCCTTACAATTGAATTTAGGAGGTCAGAGGAGGGTGAGAATATGAGAATGCCGTCCCCATAGACCACCATGAAGCTCCTCTGCTCCCCCTCGCCAAGGATGAACAGGGAGTGATCAGCCGTTGAGGGAGTGAAGCCGATTTCCTCCAAAACTTCTCGCAGCTTCAAGTACCACTGCCTAGGGGCCTGATTCAGCCCATAGAGGGCCTTCTTCAGCTTTTAATCTCTGCCATCATCAAACCCCTCTAACTGCGCCAAGGAAATCTTTTCTTCAAGAATGCCGTTGAGGAATGCAGTTGTCACGTCCATCTACTTCACCACCCATCCTTTGATGGCAGCCCCTGCGAGTAGGGTCCGCAACGTCGTCGGCTTCACCACAGGAGCAAACAACTCCTTGAAGTCCACCTTCTCCTTCTGCTGGTACTCCTTGACCACAAGCCTAGACTTGTAGCGCTGGATCTTGCCGTCGGCGTCGGACTTGATCTTGAAGAGCCACTTGGAAGTTATCGCCTTACGCCCCTCCGGTAACTCCTCCAATTCCCACATGTCTTTCTCCTTAATGCTCTTCAGCTTGCTCTCCATTGCCTTCTTCCACTCCACGCCATCAGTGCTCTCCAAGGTCCCCTTGAGAGTTGCTGGTTCTCCCGGCATCTCCTCCGGAGAGAAGATCACGAACGCACACCCCTCGAGCTCAATTTCTTCGACATATCCGGCCAGGGCTGACTTGCCCTTCTTTCCTGGTGCATCATAAGTCAGCCTATTAGGGGCTTGAAGTCTCCTCTTGCCCCTTCCTTCCTACTCAGCTGCAGGGACATGAAGGCCTTGGTGTTGCTGTGGGGTGACTCGGATCCGTGGAGCACTTGTAGTGAGAGAAGGAAGTGTCGGTGCACGCTCGCTCACTTGCTGCACCTCCTCCTCTTCTTCCTCTGCATCCTTGGCCTCCTCTCCCCCATTCACAAGGGAAGATTGCCTTGTGGTGGTGCTGCCACTGCTCAGCTCCAAAGGCAGCTCCACATGCTCCAAACCGGAACTCTTCACCTCTGCAAACCGCATGCCTATCTTCGCCTTGTTCTCCGCCTTCCAATCGTTGTAGAGGTGAAGATAGGCATTCTCCATGAACTTGCAGTCCCTGCTCACCAAGAATTTCTTGGTGAATGGGTCCCAAAGAAGCCACCCCTTGCTGATTTGAGCCATGCCCAAATGTACGGCCCATATCGCCTTGACACCGAGCTTGTTGTGTCGAAGATGCTTAGGCACGAGCGCCATGCACATGCACACGAACACCCGAAGCATATCCACCCATATAGGGAACCCATTTGTCTGCTCCCACATGAGTCAAAAGTGTGTTATTGGCCACACACGCACTCCGCACCCGCGGCTTTAATGAGCAACCCGCGT